ATTCTATTATTCAATTGAAATATTAACCATTTACGTGTTTGAGAAAAAATCCATGATTTGGTCCCAAAATGTCTAGCAAATTCTGGCCGACAGATTTTTATGAAACTTAGGGCCAGTTTCACCAACTCTGGTTAAAAGTTAATCAGCGATTAAATCCCTAACCAACCAATCATGAACGATTAAATTATCTTTAATCGCTGATTAACTTTTAACCGGAGTTGGTGAAACTGGCCCTTAGTATACATATAAGGGTTCATGAGTTCGCTGAATTCAAATGTGACATTAAAAAAAAAATTTTAATGGCGGATCCAAGATGGCGGACAAAAAAAATTAAAAATCAACCGGATTAGCTTGAAATTTGTTACTCGGGGGTTACTGATTATGAATCCGATGTTAGTTTTCAAGAATTCAAAAAGGCGGATCCAATATGGTGGGCAAAAATTTAAAAAATCAACCGGATTTTGCTTAAAATTTCTTACTCAGGAGTTTTTAGGATTGCTGAATTCAAATCTGATATCAAAATTTAAAATCTAAAAATCCCCGAGTAACAAGTTTTAAGCCATTTGGATTCAATTTTTAAAAAAGTCGTCCTCCACTTTTGATTGGCCATTTTGAATTTTTAAAAACTAAGCTCATATTCGTAATCAGCGACCCCAAAAACCTCCGAGTAACAAATTTCAAGCCATTCTGATTGAATTTTAAAAAAGTCGTCCGCCATATTGGATCCGCCATTTTGAATTTTTAAAAACTAAGCTCATATTCGTAATCAGCGACCTCAAAAACCTCCGAGTAACAAATTTCAAGCCATTTTGTTTAAAATTTTAAAAAAGTCGTCCGCCATATTGGATCCGTCATTTTGAATTTTGAAAATCTAACATCATATTCGAATTCAGCGACCACGAAAACCCTTATATCCAAAATGTGGGTTAAATCAAAAAATAAATTTTTTTTTCGTGATTTTTACTTGTTTTCCAATTGTTATAATTAACATTAGTTAATAAATAATTACTTAATTATTGTAAAGACTAGAGTCAGTGATATCTGTTGTATGACAAAGATGATGTAGAAAATATAATTTTGCAATTTATATAATAAATTGCATATATTTTGTGATAAGATGTTCACGACCTTTGTAATTGTTTATTTCGCAATTTTTCTTTTATTAAACTTTTGTTAAACCTTATTTTGAATGTTGTTAATGGTAAACCTATAAAAATATTATCAATATTAAAACAAATTTGATAATATAATAATTAAATTGAAATAAATACTAGACATAAATGATAAAATTGTGTAAATTATATTTTTTACTATCTATTTAATTTTCCAAGGATTTTTGTAATAGAATAGATTTTGTTTTTTAAAAGTGAGGAATTTTTTTTTTTTTGTTTTATTTCATGATAATTGTGACTATACGCATATGTACATATATGTAGGTATTGGAATTTAAAGGGCCGAACCACTTTATTTTCCTTTGTGCATTTTAGCATTTCTATACGAATACCTACATATATCCATGTGTTTTTGGAGAGCTCTTTTTTTTTTCCTCGAACATGACGGTATTCGAGTTTATTCACATGGCACACGCAGAAAAAGGTGTCGATTGAGTCTCTTAACGAACAATACAATGCAATGTATAGAATTGTAGAGTACTTGAATTTCTATGCAAACAAATTCACTTAGAATTCTCGTGAACTCGCGTTGTATACAACGTATTGAAAAGTGGAAACGTATATATATATATATATGTACATACATTTTCTTCTCTTATATCTGACAATGCCAATTTGAAAATAAATGTAATATATTAAATTAATTTCAATCTGACAGTGAATATTTGGTTAGAATTTTTCAAACGAATCAAAAAAAAAATTAAAATTAAAATTAATTTAAAATTAAAATTATCAAAAAGTAATGAATTTTCAGTGTTAAATTATTTTTTATTCATATACTCAAATCAAAATAGATCAAAAAAAATTTTTTTGGTACACCCAGAAAAAAGATTTCTTCACTGAAAAAAAATTCTAGTTAGAATAACCAGAATTCTGGTTAGGGCATATTTAACATTTTGATTCTGGTTAGGTTAACCAGAATTCTGGTTATTTTAACGAGAATTCTATAGTTAATTCAACTAGAATTCTGGTTAACATAACTAGAAATTAATGTCAAATATAGCCTAACCAGAATTTTTTTTCAGTGTTTGATTCAAAGAAATCATTTTCTTTGACAAATTTTTGTTTCACTGAAAAAATTGTATGATCAGAGCAATCAAATGTTCGGTTAGTACAACCAAACTTTGGTTAGGCTAACCAAACAATTCGGTTGGCACAATCAAAGTTTGGTTATACTGACCACACATTTTTTTCAGTGTTGATACAAAGAAAATTTAGTTGTTTCAAACAAATTATCATTGATCCAAACAAAAAAAAAATTATGTTCGTTTTAAAGAAATTTTTTATTTAATTCAAATAAATGTTTCTTTGACCCTATATGAATGTTAGAATTTTTTTTTATTTAATGCATAAATTTCTTTTATTCAAATTTTTTTTTAATACACCCAGAAAAAAGATTTCTTTGAGTCAAAGAAATTTTCTTTTGAAACAAAGAAAATTTTATTTTGAATGAAAGAAAACAAGTCAAAGAAAGTGATTTCTTTAAATCAAAGAAATCTTCTCGGGATGTATAATATTATGGACAATTGAAACATTTAGCTGTCTTAAATTAAAAATTTTTTGAAACAAAAATTACAAAAATTATAAATGTTACATTACAAGGCGAGAAAAATTGTTTTTGAATTAGTCAACTAGATGTTAAGATTTTTTTTTAACAAATACCCAGATAGCACGGAAACTTGCAGTAAGCTTGCGGCAAGTTCACCGTGCAAGCTTGTCTGAGCTAGCGAAATGTCCCACCCAGGGCAAGCTTGCCGTGAAAGCTTGCTGTAAGCTTTCCAGGAAAGGTTGCTGCAATCTTGCCATGAAAGATTGCTACAAGATTGCTGCAAGCATACTAAGAATGATTGCGGCAAGCATGCCGTGAAAGATTGCTGTAAGCTTGCTGCGTAAGGTTGCAGGAGAATTTCAACAAGCTTCTCGAAAGGTTGCTGCAAGGTTGCTGCAATTTTTAAAAAATACCTTTTAAATTAAAAATAAATTTATTTGTTTTCTAAATTTGAAAATCCTTGTGACGTTTATTTCAACAAGAGAATTTCAACAAGCTTCTGAAAAGGTTGCTGCAAGGTTGCTGCAATTTTTAAAAAATACATTTTAAATTAAAAATAAATTTATTTGTTTTCTAAATTTGAAAATCCTTGTGACGTTTATTTTTAATTTAAAATGTATTTTTTAAAAATTGCAGCAACCTTGCAGCAACCTTTCCAGAAGCTTGTTGAAATTCTCCTGCAACCTTACGTAGCAAGCTTACAGCAATCTTTCACGGCATGCTTGCAGCAATCTTGTAGCAATCTTTCATGGCAAGATTGCAGCAACCTTTCCTGGAAAGCTTACAGCAAGCTTTCATGGCAAGCTTGCCCTGGGTGGGACATTTCGCTAGCTCAGACAAGCTTGCACGGTGAACTTGCCGCAAGCTTGCTGCAAGTTCCCGTGCTATCTGGGTAGTGAAAAAAATTTTTTTGTCTATTTTCAGAAACTTATTTTATTAATAGTAGGAGTAAAAAAAAAAAATTTAACATCGAAAGTTTAATTTTTTTTTAAAAATTTTATGCAACTCTTTCGAGAAATTCTAACCCTATTTATTTTCGTATTGTTTTTTTTAATACATAAATTTACATTTTAAATATTTATATTTTAATTTTACTCTTTTAATCCTTTACTGTGAATTTCTGTTAGTTTAGAATATTTTCATTTAAAAATTTGATACAAAAATAAAAAAAGAGAAGAGAATTTTGCTAAATAAAGTATTGAAAGAGAAAAATATAAAATAAAATTTTTTTATTTTAAAATAAATAAGAAAATATAAAAAAAAAAAATTTAAATAATATTTTGTTTTAATTTCAAATTTTTCATGAATAGTCAATTTTTGTTTTAGAAAAAATTTTCTGCATCATGAGCACGTTTTGTTTTTGTCTCGGTATTCATTTTTTTTTTTTTTTTTTTTTTTTTATATATACATTGTCAAGAGTCCATTTTTCGAATGAATTTTCAATGACGAATAGAAAAAAAATATTCAAAAAGTTTGTTAATTTTCACAATATTTGAGTTTTAAATAAAAAAAAGTGAGGAAAAAAAATAAAAATTGGAAATTTTTTTCAGAGTGAATTTACGTAAATTTTTTGCACGTGTGCGTATATACTATTATTATATATATATATATATATATATACATGGGTAGTATCAGTATATAGAAAGCAACATCGTGTATCGATCCGACACGGCGTTCACATGGCTGAGGCCAAGCTCTCTTTGGGATACAAATTTTTGTCACGATTTTCCAACACGCTTTTTGCTTTCAAAACACGTGTATATGATCCCAAATCACACTATAGTTGCGAAATTTCCATTTTCCTTTTTTATTTTGTTTTATAAATGAGATTTGAAGACGATACCTGCGAGCATACCCTAAGAAACATTGCTTCCTCTTTCGAATTTTAACGAAACATTCGTATGGACTTTATTATATGTAATTTTTTCACTGAGTACATATAAACAAAGAAAAAAAAAGTGTTTAAGAAAAATTCCGAACAAAGTTTTGGATTTTGTAAGAAAAATGCAGGAAAAAGAAATTTAAAAATATGTAAACTATGCTAAATAATTCCAAGAGTACAGGAGAATTAATAATCTCTTTTTAATACCAAAAAAAACTTTTATACAAGCTCGTTTTTCCTCTATATAAATATAGTAGTTATAAATTCTTTGGATTAAATTTTTCTAATTATACGTTTTTTTTCTTAATTTTAAATTTCGTTTTATCAATGAAATAAAATACTTTTCTTTTTTTTTGTTTTATTTCAATGTTTCTTACTTGTTCGTTTCACATTTCAGACGGAACTGTCACAAAATCTGCAGCAGTTGTCGGAGCGTGCACGTTCTACAACGGAGTTCATTCAAAGGCTAAAAGGAATGACAGATAAAGTGCACGTAAGTATGCAAGTTTCTTCTTTTTACCATCTATTCTACCGAACAATTCCCGGACACAATGAAAATGTATGTATTTTTTTTTTTTTTTTTCAGTCATTTATATGCGGGGAAAAATGTATAATTTCATTACTTAATGCAATAATCAGCATTTTTCTCTGTCATCTGAACATGTTTTTTGTTATATAGAATTTTGTCATAAAATATAAAATTGAGTTTAATATTTTTTGTTCTATTATTACAATTTTTGGACGCATGATTATGTTCTAAAAATCATTAGTTAGAATTTTAATTTTATGAAATTTCATTTGTCATAATTTTTTTTGAGCCGAATTTTTATTTGTCAGAATTTTTATTTCCTCGAATTTTCATTGAACATAATAGATATTTTAAAGAATTTTTATTGTGTAGAATTTCATTGCATAGAATTTTTATTGAGATGAATTTTCATTTGTTCGAATTATTATTTCATATAATTTCCATATAACCGATTTTTCATACTACGGAATTTTTACTTAACCGAAAAATCATTTAACAGAATTTCTGATTGATAGAATTTTTATTTGTCCGAAATTGCAAACGGCCGAACAAACAATCGACAGAAAGATTTCGGTGCGATTTTTAAAATCAATCAATCACAATTTTATGGTTAATTTTTGATTAATTGATTTTAAAAATCGCGCCGAAATCGATTGTTGTTTCGGCCATTTGCAATTTCGAACAAATGAAAATTCTATCAATTAGAAATTCTGTTAAATGATTTTTTGGTTAAGTAAAAATTCTGTAGTATGAAAAATCGGTTAATATGGAAATTCTATCAAATAATAATTCGAACAAATGAAAATTCATCTGAAAGAAAATTCTATGCAATAAAATACTATTCAATAAAAATTCTTTAAAATAATGCCTATTATATTAAGGGTATGTAGGCAAAGGACGTTTTTTTGTGATTTGAAACTTTCTCTGAAATAAAAAATAATTTTGGGTTAAAATTTTGGAGAAATGATTTAGTTTGGTACAAGGAATCTCGCTGTTCTACTCATTTACTGCATTTTAACATTATTAAACAATATCCAGTATGGATGTTATTAAAAAAGATATAAAACATATATTTTAAGTGGAAATTACCGCAGCAGTAAAATATTTCAAGTTAGTAAACAAACACTCCTAACCTCAAAAATTTATATTTTATCACGAATTCAGAGAATCTATCAATGCAATTGAATCAAATATATAACAAAATTAATTATCAACACACATTTTAATTTTATTATATGTCAACAAGCGTTTTCCGTGTTTAAAGTATGAATAAAATTGATGAAAGTGGAAACAAATTTTCTTCCCCGTAAGAATAACATTGTGTCGTCGTCTGTTTGTTGTCCCTCCAGGCCTCTGACGTCATATCTTGAACTCGAAATATCTCGATGAACTGACACAGCCTAATATGCACAAAAAATTCAGTTACTACCCAACTCTGCTTTCGCGCAACAATACAGACGTTGAGTTGTAATTTCCCAGTTCTGATTATTTACGCATTGTCGTCAGCTGTCACGTTGTATTAGTCAAAGATATTTTTATTAATAGACAATAATTATAGGCAAAATATTTCCACATACAATTACTTATTTATAAAAAATTTGTGGATTTAATAAGTTAAGTGTAAAATTACTAATATTTTTTTTAAAATTAGACAGTTTATTCAAATATGACATCCATTTTTCTAGTAATATTTTAGTAACATTTTTATCCATCACAAATTTATCCTTTACCCTGTATCCTAACGACTTTTATCCTCTATCTTTACAACTTTTTACCCACCATTTTTTCTGTGTAAGTTACGTGAAATGACAAATGAAATTACATATAATAATCGTGAATATCTTTCGTTCATTCTGTCCACACCTGAAGTTAGTATTTGTTATAGGTCTTTTGTTTTTTTTAAATGTGTTGTTTGACATTATTTTGTGTTGGTTAAAATTTTTCAATGTTTTGACATTGTCATTTGTGCGGTCGTATTTTAATTATTAAAAATTATAAAATTGTTAGAATCGTGCAAAAAAATTGTGTGGATTGTGAGAAAAATTGATTCGATTGCTGTTAGAGTAAGCTGCATAAGTTGATAATTTTATGAAATTTCAAAAATTTATTTAATTACATCACGATAATTTAATTAATTTTAAAAATAATAAAAAAAATTTTATATTATTTATTTATTTATATTTATTATTTATATTATATATTACAAATTAAATTTTTTTTTTTATTTTCACAAAATATTTATTTATTTTTGTTATTATAATTAAAAAAATTTATATTATATATATATTTATATTATATATAAATATAAATTTTTAATTTTGACTAAATATTAATTTTTTTTAATAATTTTTATTTTTAAATATTAACTTAATATAAAATTTTTTAAAATAAATTTTATTTAAAATAAAATTTAAATTATTATATTTTATATATATTTATATATGTTACATTAATTAATTAATTAGGAATATTGAATAATATATATTAAATATTAAATTTAAATAATTTATAAATTATTTATTTATTTATTAATTTAAAGTTATTAATAATAATTATTATTATTATTTATTATTATATAATAAAAAATAAAAAACTTTATTTAATGATAAATATTTTGATGATAAGAAATTTTTACAAGACCTTTACCGATATATGTTATATTAAAAATTATCAATTTAAATTTTAAATCGAAAATTTTCTTGAATAATTTCTGAAAAATTATCGACAGATAATCAAAAAAAAATCAAGAAATATTTTTTTCTATTTGATAAAAATTAAGGAATTATTATTAACAATGTAATAATATTATAATAAATTAAAAATTTTATTGATAATATTAATTTTAATTTCTTTATAATAAACAATTAAGTCCCTAATTTCGCGCGCTTGCGCGCACTTAATTTTGCTAGTTCATTAAAGTTAAAATTCTAACTAATGATTTTTAAAACATAATCATGTCTCCCGTTATTTTAATATTATTGTTATTATTTTTTTATAGTAATTACAAAACTTGTTGCTGTAACAGTTGCTATGGAAACGTTCTGCTAAAAATGACAATCGTTGATATGCTAAGCGTTTCCATAGCAACAGTTGCTATAGTAACGATTACCATGGCAACTTTTGATATGGTAGCAGTTACTATACAGGGTGTTCCAAAAGTATGAAAACTTGCAAATATCTCGAAAAGTACGAATTTTCGTAAAAAATGTTCAATACAAAAGTTGTTCCAAACAAAAAGATCTACATTGTTCAAACCAAAAAATTGGGCCCCGGGCCCAATGTTGGGCCCTACAATGAAAAAAGCAGTTTTCTTAAATGAGACCACTAATTTTTAATATCAAATTCGTAATCCCCATGAAATTCTGCGTTCAGACATGTGGTATAAGTGCCCAAAATATTGGGCCCAATCCAAGATATCGGGCCCAACATTTTCGACAAAGAAATAAATTTAAAAAATCGTATCTTTGGGGGTTTTCGGGGTCACAGGATTACAAAATTCAAAGCTACTTTTCAAATTGGGCACAGAGCCCAATGTAGGATTCCGTGGCCCAATGTAAAGCCCACAGTAAAAAAATTAGTTGTCTAAATGCCAAAAATATTGGGCCTAATATTTTTGGCATTTGTACTACAAAACTAAATCCAAAATTTCATGACGATTACGAAATGGATACTAAAAATTAGTGGGTTTTATTTTAGACAACTAATTTTTTTACTGTGGGCCTTACATTGGGCCGCGGAATCCTACATTGGGCTCTGTGCCCAATTTGAAAAGTAGCTTTGAATTTTGTAATCTTGTGAACCCAAAAACCCCCAAAGATACAATTTTTTTAATTTATTTCTTTGTCAACAAATTTTGGGCCCAATCCTAGACATTGGGCCCAATATTTTTGGCATTTGTACTACAAAACTAAATCCAGAAATTCATGACGATTACAAAATGGATACTAAAAATTAGTGGGTTTTATTTTAGACAACTAATTTTTTTACTGTGGGCCTTACATTGGGCCGCGGAATCCTACATTGGGCTCTGTGCCCAATTTGAAAAGTAGCTTTGAATTTTGTAATCCTGTGACCCCGAAAACCCCCAAAGATACGATTTTTTAAATTTATTTCTTTGTCGAAAATGTTGGGCCCGATATCTTGGATTGGGCCCAATATTTTGGGCACTTATACCACATGTCTGAACGCAGAATTTCATGGGGATTACGAATTTGATATTCAAAATTAGTGGTCTCATTTAAGAAAACTACTTTTTTCATTGTAGGGCCCAACATTGGGCCCGGGGCCCAATTTTTTGGTTTCAACAATGTAGATCTTTTTGTTTGGAACAACTTTTGTATTGAACACTTTTTTTACGAAAATTCGTACTTTTCGAGATATTTGCAAGTTTCCATACTTTTGGAACACCCTGTATAACAACTCTTGAGGTCCAAAAATAGCCCTAAAAAAGCCCAAAAATCTAGTGTAGTCCGATTTCTAAATTTTAATTGTGGAGGAACTGGTTTGACGGACCTCAACTCTTGCCGTGAAGTTATATCAAGTTAAAGAAATATTGCATCATACAGAACGACAGAAGTAAAAATTCAATGAAATTGCAAATAATAATAATAATAATAATTCAAATAATTTCAATTAAATAATATAATAATAAATATAGTAAATTATTTTTCGATCCAAATAGTTAGGATTAAATAATAATAATAATAGTACATTATTTTTCGATTAATTTTGCAAAATTGGATTTCAAACGCTCTGTACGAGTAAAATATGATTTTTGATCTCATTTATGGATGATCAAATGAAGTATAAGGTATATTAAAATATGATATTCACACACAATTTTCAATAGACCCCATTTTCAGAGTATGTAGCTGATCATAGTGGCGTGCACATAATCATGTGACAGTACATAAAAGGGTAAACTCGGTTTTGTGTGTGCGCGCAAAATATATCGTCACAACTAA